CTCCAGTTCGTAGATGTCCATCACCACCTCAAAGCTGATCTCTTCAAAGTACAGCCGATCGCACATGTCGTAGTCGGTGGAGACCGTCTCCGGGTTGTAGTTGATCATGATCGTTGGCTTCTGCAGCTTCCGCAGCTCCCGCAGGCAGCCCACGGCGCACCAGTCAAACTCCACCGAGGAGCCAATGCGGTACACGCCCGACCCCACCACAATGATGTGGCCCCCGGGGAACTCCACGTCGTGCTCGGTGCCGTGATAGGTCGTATACAGATAATTGGTGCTCGCCGGCCACTCCCCTGCCACCGTGTCGATCTGTTTGACAAACGGACGGATTCCCAGCTCGTGACGCTGCTGGCGCACCACCAGCTCCGTGCTTTTGGTGGCCTTGGCTATCTGCTTGTCGGAGAAGCCCAGACGCTTGGCTTTGAGCAGCAGATCGGGACCCAGCTGGCTGCCGGAGGCATTGAGGCGGCTGAGATGGTGGTTGAAAAAGACGATCCGCTCCAGCTTGTGCAGGAACCACTGATCGATGTTGGTGAGCTGATGCAGCTGCTGGATATCCATGCCCATGGTCAGGGCGGCGGCCAAGAAAAAGGGCCGTCGATCCGTCGGCTCTGAGAGCTGATCCGCCAGCTTCTGCTCGTCGACGACCACAACGTCCGCATCGAAGCCCAGCACATCGCTGTCGACCATGCGTAGGGCCTTCTGGAAGGCCTCCTCGAAGCTTCGTCCGATGGACATCACCTCGCCGACGCTCTTCATGGAGCTGCCGATGTGCTTGCTGACGCGCGTGAATTTGGCCAGATCCCAGCGCGGTATCTTCACCACACAGTAGTCGAGTGAGGGCTCAAAGCAGGCCGTCGTATTCCCCGTCACCGAGTTCTTGATCTCGGGCAGGGGCAGGCCCAAAGCCAGCTTGGCGGCCACATAGGCCAGAGGATAGCCGGTAGCCTTGCTGGCCAGCGCCGAGCTGCGCGACAGCCGCGCATTTACTTCGATGATGTAGAACTGCTCCGAGTGGGGGCAGAGCGCATACTGGATGTTGCACTCCCCCACAACGCCCAGATGCCGGATGACCTTCAGGGCGGTGTTGCGGAGCATTTGATACTCCCGGTCCGAAAGCGTCTGCGAGGGGGCCACCACAATGCTCTCGCCCGTGTGGATGCCAAGCGGATCGAAGTTCTCCATGTTGCAGACGGTGATGCAGTTGTCGAAGGCATCGCGCACCACTTCGTACTCGACCTCCTTCCAGCCCTTGAGCGATTTGTCCACAATCAGCTGGCTAGAGTGAGCCAGCGCCTGCTCGGCGAGGTTCTCCAGCTCCTGTTCGTTGTTGGCAAAGCCGGAGCCCAGGCCGCCCAGCGAGAAGGCGGCCCTGGCCATCACCGGATAGCCGAGGCGGCCGGCCGCCTCCAGAGCCTCGGCCACCGAATAGACGGCCTCCGACGGCGCCACCTGCTCCCCAATATCGTTGACGCGCTGGGCGAAAAGCTTACGATCCTCCGTTTCGATGATCGACTGGATGGGCGTGCCCAGAATGCGGACATTGTACTTCTCAAAGACTCCGGCCCGGTCCAGTTCCACGCCGCAATTGAGTGCCGTCTGGCCGCCAAAGGTGAGCAGCACTCCGTTGGGGCGCTCCGACTTGATCACCTCCTCCACGTAGTGGGGGGTCAGGGGCAGGAAATAGCATTTGTCCGCCATTCCCTTTGAGGTCTGCACGGTGGCGATATTCGGATTGATGAGCACCGTCTGGATGCCAGACTCTCGCATCGCCTTGATGGCCTGCGAGCCGGAGTAATCGAATTCGCCCGCCTGGCCAATGGAGAGGCCACCAGAGCCCAGGATGAGCACCTTGCGCGGCTTAGGCTGGACGGGCAGCAGCTTGGCGGGACGCAGTCGTCGATTTATGAGTTCTGGCACACTCAGCTGTGGGGTACGGATGGATTCCATGAAGACATCGAACAGGAATTCGGTGTCGCAGGGCCCTGCATGGTGCTCCGGATGAAACTGCACTGAGAAGTAGGGCTTGGAGCGGTGGACAATGCCCTCGTTGGTGCCGTCATTGGCATTCACAAAGAGCTCCTCCCAGTCACCGGGTAGATCCTGCAGATCCACTGCGTAGCCGTGGTTCTGTGAGGTCATCAAGCAGCGGCCAGTGGCACGGTGCAGGCAGGGCAGGTTGTGGCCACGGTTGCCGTACTTCATCTTGAAGGTGGAGCAGCCAATGGCCTTGGCCAGCAGCTGGTGGCCCAGACAGATGCCGAAGATGGGCTTGGTGCCAGCCCGGATGACGCGCCGCACCTGCTCAACAATCGCGTCGCAGCTCTCCGGATTGCCGGGTCCGTTGGACAGGAAGAGGGCATCGTAGTCCTCGTCCTTCAGGTCAGCGCTCCATGGCAGCAGCTGCACAGAGGCACCACGCTGCAGCAGGCAGCGCAACTGATTGAGCTTCAGGCCGCAGTCTATGATGGCGATGCGTGGGCCCTTGCCACTGGTGGTATCCCCGAAGACCATCTTCTTCCGTACGCTGCACTCCTTGGCTAGATTACGGGTGTTGGGATCCTCAAAGATTAGTTTGTTTGGCCCCTCCTTGGGGGCCTCGTACACGATGCGACCCAGAAGGCTGCCCTGCTCCCGCAACTTTTTGGTAAGGGCGCGTGTGTCCACGCCACTGATGCCAGGCACCTTGTGCTCAGCCAACCACTTGGGCAGCGTCTTGGAGCTACGCCAGTGCCAGGCGCACTCGGCCACTTCGCCCACCACAAGGGCGGTGGCCTGCACGGCTCCCTTGAGCCACTCAAAGTGCTTAGGCAGGCCGTGCTCGTCCTCCTCCGGGCAGGGCACTCCATAGTTACCAATCAGCGGGTAGGTCAGCACCAGAATCTGTCCACTGTACGAGCGATCTGTCAGCGCCTCGGTGTAGCCGACCATGCCTGTTTGGAAGACAACCTCGCCTCCCACCGGACTATCCTTGGCCACATGTCCGAACGACAGCCCCGGCATGACGGTGCCATCCTCCAGCACCAGGTAACAGTCCACTTGTCGCATCTTTATCCTGTCCACAGAAGGTACAAAGAGAGTGAGAGAGATGCTAAGCAAATCATTTTATTTGTGTACCTATTCTGCCTATAAAGATTAGATTCGGATATGGCAATTAGCCATGATATTACATTTTACAAGTTTTAACTATTAATTCAGATCCATATATATGTATTTATTATATGTATCCATTTAATGGGCTCGGACACCCTTGGTTCTGCCTACTGTACACAGGATTACAATATACCCTCGATACGATATACGAGTACAAGGCACACACATATCCATATGTATAAAAGCTTTCTTTCGTCTAATACTCCCTTCTACTGGACGAGTACAGGATAGCGTTAAACCCGTATACGATAAAAGCAAACTTGCGGTTCTCTTCACACACACACACAAGAAACGCTCTCACGAACTTTTGTCTGTCTCTGTCGCACTTCTATGTTTTTCGATGTCTGGCACAACATGTTGCTCCCGTCTGGAACAGCGCTTCTCTTCGCTTATCAAAAACGGAGAACTGAGACAGCTTACAACCACTGCCACGACATGCAGGCACTGTTGAGCACAAATGAACATATTCAATTGTTTAAATATGGATCAAATAGTATATATAATTATTAATAATATTCTTATAAATCAACAAAAAAAAAAAAACAAAATGTGTTGTATTATTTTGAGTTTGTTTATCAACTGATACGCCACAGTTTACCACAATGTGGCACTGGTTGTGCGTTAGCGCACGTGTGAGAGGTTGGACTTGAAACCGGTTTGTACCCCAACAAAGTACACAAAGTTCTAAATCAAGACGAATTGTAGGTACGTATAATTTGCAAAACAGTTTTCACGAATTGAATAGTTTTTAAAATTTTTGCGGTTTTTTCTTATCTATTTAGGTGCACTCACACAGACGACACTTTCGTTCAGAGAAGCTTTAGATGCAGCCTGCAGTTGTAGTTGTAGATGGAGAGCACGTGTACACGTGTGTGCCAGAGCTTTGTTGTGTGTTCTGTCGCACTCGATGTCCAATTAAAGATGTATTTATAGCGCTTTGCAAACCTATATGGCGCAATTCAATCAACCAAACTCAACTTCAATCAACGCGGACTTATCGATACAACATCAATACCGTCCGACCATCAGAAATATACCGAAACATACCGCCTCATTTAAAAAATATACCGTAAATATACTGAGTTCAAGTTCTATTTTACATATTCCTCGTTTTCGATCTTCCGTGGAATATTCTCAGCTATATAGAACATTTAGCCATGCCCATATAATTTTATCCGATTAGTGAATCAATTTTCTAGTCGTTGGGGTCCACTCGAGCTGCCGAGCGCGTGGGCAGAAAATTATTAACGCGTTCTCAAAATACTTAAGCCGCGCTGGGTGAGTTTCAAATCAAATCAAATCCAGAACCCGAACATGGACGCAGAGGCCAATGATACTATGGATATACTATCCATATACTATGGATTGGCGGATTACCTTGTCGTTTAGCCTTTGAGTGAGTCCTTTTCACTTTGTATAAGCAACGACCGGGAAGGAAACGTTGAGTCGCGCCTCTACATTTAAACCCCGATACTTAGTCAGTATGTGCAATATACCATATAAGCTTCATGCAAAATGTAAATTATCGAATCGATATCTGACAAAAGCTCGTAAATTATCGTTTTTAATTTAATGGCGGTCTGCTATATATGCGTTATTGCGTTTACTATCTATGCGTATGCCGGAGAAGTCCAACTAGCATATTGTATTTTCATATTTTATAAACTTCGAAATAGTACTTTTTTTCTTAATTGATAAGAAACTATCGCACAATTCTAAGAACATCGATATTTTCGATAATGCCATCGATGGCTTTGCAGCCCAAATTTGAACAGCTCTTTTCCGTTTATAGTTAATCCGTTAAATTGTGTAGATATACGAAGCAGATTATGATGCGAAGTTGAATGGGCCCACCAGGCTGGGAGCTAATAGAGACCACACTGGAGGAGCTGGGGCAGAAAATGCGAGAGGCTAAGTAAGCCAACGTACGATTCGCCGGCTGCGCAGTTCTATGAAGAGTGATGAAGGGAGGGAGTGATGAAAAATGCGAAAAATTGATGTTTATTTACAGCCGAAACGGAACCGCATGGCCCCGTGTTCAAGATCCACAACCAGAAGACGCGCTACATCTACGACCTGTTCTATCGCCGTAAGGCCACTAATTGGGAGCTTAACGAGTACTGCCTGAGGGAGAAGATCGCCGACAGCAATCTGATCGCCAAGTGAAGAAGTGCTGCCTGCGATGCATACAGAGGCGCGTCACCAACTTTGCCACCAACTGTATTTGTCGGGTTCACAAATCCCTCCTCGAGGAGGGCCCGCGGCTGCTTGGCAAATGCCATCAGCCCTACCACCTGTAGAGTTTAGTGTAAAATTGTATTTTAAACGAATGTTGTGGCAGGATTTGCGTAGGCTGTACAAAAAAAAGGTGTTTTAGACATGAGGGCTGATCCGATGGCCAATATACCCACAGATGGATAGGGATACAACCCACTCAAAGAGAGAGAGAGAGAGAGAGAGAGCGAAACGTAAATTTTGACGATTTTGTAAAGGATGAGCATCTAAAACTAAACCGAGATTTGCCTGCCTCCTTCGCTGCTGTAAATTATCCAACGCAAATCCCAAATTGGGGTCACCTATCTGCTGGCCACACTCCCCCAGCCTCGCGCACAGAAATTGCATGTACATAGATTTTAATTTAATGCCTTGAACAATTTATTACTGCGTTGACATAATTCAAACTCAATGTCGTTGGGGATGTCCCCGGTGGAAGTGGCAGTGGCGGTGGCGGTGGCAGTGCCGTCTCCACGATGAGCACGTTGCTTTTATGGCCGTATTTATGGCTCTGGCTCTGGCCCTCATTCCCTCCTTCCATTCTATTTCATTCTTTTCGAGTTTGGAAATTCTCAGGCTTCAAGTGCTCGTTGGTGTTGGACATAGACATGGACATGGGACGTCGCATGGGTCGATGGGTGCTCGGCCTGTTGGGTTGGGATGGTGTTAGGCGTTTGGGGGTCCACTGGGATTTGTGCGAAAATGATTATAAATCGTTTTTTAATTATACTTGTCTGCATATTTTCTCATTTTCGCTTTCCGAAATAGAATCGTATCTCTCGAAAAACACATATTGGGTGACAGTTTTATTATTCAAATGGAATATTATTTTCCAGCACGGGGTGTGGGTCGGGGTATGGGTCCGTCTGTCGCTGACAGCCCGCCCCAGCCCCGATTAAAGTAGAGATTTAAAACAAGAGAGATGGCTACAATATTTCGACGTGTCTCGACCAAGAGATACCCTCTAATCAGTTTCTTGATATAGTGATAGAGATAGAGAATCTTTTACTGGTCCTACTAGGTGTACCAATTTTCCTTTATGTGTTATGTGTCTTTGGGAGACAACAAGAAATTGATTTCTTTAGTGTCTTAGTACCTTAGATCGTTATATCTCCTAAATTCTGAAGAGGACATAGTTTTTGCCATTCTTTGTGATTTCAAAAGATGCTGATCTAGAATTGAGAATGCTTGAACGAGTATGTTTATGGGAGTTTATGGACGCGACGTGTTACTGGGAAAATTATACCCCCTGGATTGGGAAACAGAAATGAATTATCCACTGGCGTTAGATTAGCGTTTTCAATTAGTGCAAGTGTAGTTTCCTTTCTATCATACAATGTTTTTTAAAGAGAACAATCTTTACCATGTTTGGCATGGTGTGACACTTGCAATTCGCTGATATCATCTGTGTTGGAGCTGGACAGCTGTTGGATAAGGGATAAAGAGCGCATAAGAGAGAGTCTTAGATGGTGAAAGCCACTATCTTACTTGCTCCTCACCCAATCTATCATTGATCTTATATTTTACTGATCATTGAAGACTCCATATGGAAGAGGCAAGAACAGGTACTGAACAGTAAACAGAAAAGAAAGTAATACGTAAATCAGGATTAGAAACAGAGAACTAAGTGTTAAAGACATGATGGAACCATAGACGGAGCGACAGCTACATAGATGAAGGATGAACAAATAGGCCATTTGTGGGGCAATAGGTAGCAGAGGGAGAGGGAGCCGTAGGGGACACTGCTGCTCCATCTTTCAACGCTTTCTTAGTAGATCTAAGGCATATTTTAAGAATTCCTCGGATATCTCGAGTGCACCCTTGAGTTTGGAAGCGAGACGTCCATTGAGAACGGAAGGCTAAGGAGGCTGTATGCCGCTTTGCTACTGCCTTTTGCGAGCATTAAGTTCCCCCCCTTCATAGGAGGCTGTGTTGTATATCCGAGGCATATAGGTTTCCAGATTGCCCATTTATTTCAGTTAGGAACTACGACTGGAACAGTAAACATATCTGTTTTAAGCTTTGTATCATTTAGTTTGTATCATTTTGAGCTTTGTGAAATTTTCTGATACTTCAGACTGACATATGAATTCGTACACCAAAGACAACGTATCCAAGTGAGTAATCTGTGGTTCCCCTCTCCAGTCCCGGGCTTATGGCAGCGACTCTCCCACTCTCTTGCAGCATTCAGAATGTTGAGCTGATGGCCCAACTGTTGGCGGAATCGAGCACACCCTTGTGCTATGAGGCGATCTTGGACAAGATTGAGAAGCTCAATGGTTGTCCCTTGTCAAATAAGGACCGCCGCGAAACTATGGCCACGCTGGAGGCGGGACAAAGGCTGGGGTACCTTCAGCTTCAAGGAGAACACTATATTGTCAAGTCCCTGACCCCTTTATCTGACCGCAGTAGTCAAGCCAGAGGCCGACCTGTAAGCCGACGCGATAGCCAACACCGGGGCCCGGCTCCAACCAGAAGCCGATCTCCAATCCGGCGCAATCCTATACCTTCCAACACCATCGATACCGAGACAGACAGCAGAAAGGATTTCTTGAAATCGCAATGTAAAACAATGTAGTGATTTTCAAACTAAATTCATTAGACAATATTATCAAACAATATAAAACATGAAAATGTAAGCTTTGTTGACAATTTAAAACATATGTACGCATGGATGGATTACCAAATAAATGGATGGAGTGAAGGATTTAAGCTGCTGGGAAATGGAAATGGAAGATGGAAATATGTAGAAATAAGCAACAAAGAGCGTAAAATCCACAACATTTCTTATCAACAACGCTAGCACTCTATTTACATTCGAATTAAGATAAGATTCCATGAGGAATGAGGGATAGCCTCGTATGTGAATACAGATGATCATTCCAGAAGATCATGATCATTGAGTATAGATCAGACGATCAGACCTCCCAAATCTGTGCTACGTTTTTTTACAGTGAATACACTTCACCACTTCCTACAGCTTTCCCATAATATTAATATTAATGGCTCTTATTAGGAATTGTATACTTTCGCTTGATAACCCTATGAGGCATGTTTTTGAAAGGAGAAAACATTCAGATCAATACAAGTATCTTCTCTTAAGCTAATTCTTTTAGCAAAGATATGTTTTTTTTGTACAGATATTACTCGTCCGTTACAGGCTTCCCCTTATAATCGGGAGACTATGGGAGTCTATGTGTATACAGTCTACAGTCTCTTCTACAAAGCCCAGGTTTCGCGCTGTTCGTTGACTTTAGATCTTTCAATCATAAATTGGGATCCAGAAGGATTTCCATAGCTTAGATTTTTGTGAGTGCTGGCCTGCTCGGGCACGGGTTTAACCCCGATCCCCTTTTACCCGGGCTGGCGCACCTCATATTTTTTGGGATTCGTCGAGGGCTGTTAATTTAATTATACAACGGGCTGTGATCTGTGCCGGAGGATTATCTGGGCCCCGCAACAAGCCGCAACATGTCCGCTAATTTCTCACTGAATTATGGCTACCTACCCAAATGTGTACCCGAGGGGCCAGAGGTTGCCAATTCCAGGTAGTCTTATCAACGACTGATTGGCTCTTATCGCTCATCGGTAGATTATCCCTACACTGTGGGTGTTTCTGCATGTGTTGGCCACTGTGTTGACCTTGGACCTTATCATGCGCGTGTATCCGTTAGGCACATTTATACCACCCTTCCAATATGTATATCTATCGAGTGTCGGACACTTATCTCTGTATCTCTGTATATACAGTGCCAGACATAACTTACTCGCAGCTTTTCCATCGCGATTCCATAGCTCTAAAAAATGCATATATTAAAATTTATTAGTTGCCACAGAAACATATTTTGTATTTGAATGCGTGTCATCTCAAAATTAAATTCAAACATAATTTCTTTATCATTTTGTAGAATTTAAGCTGTACCTATTGGGTCGCCTTCCCTAAACGGATATATAACATAAGTATATTGTATCCATGTTCTGGATATCGTTTGATCATGACAATGTGGTACACATATAAAGTGGATACCTGTCTGCAGTTCCTTAAGGATATTTTCAGCTTCGGACGCTAATCCCTTTGTTTACATCTTCGGTGAGGGACCAATCCATGGACAGGTAGGGAAGGGGTACGGGAAGGCAAACAAGATCATAAAAGTTCCAGTTGTCGGTTGGATGGCGATCATTCATGAACAGACCTGCAGCGGTGGCCCAGTGCCACCCAATGCCGATTTCGGGCTACCTGTTTTCTATAAAAGCGAGGCGTGAAGGGACGAGGGGCAGCACAAGCCTTGCACACTTCGAGGAGAGCACACATCACACCCGAACACGCCATGGAACAGAGCCATCTCTATCTGCATAAATTCTACGCCCAGATCAGTCCAGGGCCCCTCATAGTCAGCGCCACTGGCCTTCATCCGCAGAGCAGACCGGCAACGCAGCAACCCGAGCACATTGACGAGCTGGTGGCTCTGGAGCTGCAGCACCTGAAGACGCACTACGCCGACGAGGAGCAACGGTATGTGGACCAGATGCTGCTCGCGAACCCCATTGTGGTGGAGCGACGGGCCCAACCTAGACCGGAGACGACAGCGTCCGGCGCACCATCCCCGACAGAGGCATCCAGAACAGTACCAGCGCCAACACCCTCGCCCAGAGCCACATCCGCAGCCGCTCCAATGGCCAGCAGTCGCCACGACACCCAGCGGCAGAGGGCCGAGTCCTGCCGCAAGTCGCGCTACAACAACAAGATCAAGAAGGCCAAGCTGCGCTTCCGTCACAAGTTCGTCAGCAGCCAGCTGACGGAGAGCGCCGGAGTGCTGGACCACATGCGGGAGGTGATCGCTCAGGCGGAGGCGGAGCTGCTGGCGCGGGGCTTCAATATGGGAGCCCTGGAACGCATGCGCAGGAACTTCGGCGTGGATCGGTGCATGACAACGGCCATGGACCAGTGATTGACTGAATTAATGATTATTCTCTTAGTCTTAGTTCTTAGACACCTTTTTTTTCTTGTTGATTTTTCGATATTAAGCGTATTATTTTTGGTATTTAAAAACAATTCAAAATATTGTAAATAAACATGTTAAGCGAAATGTTATGGAGTCTTTCATCCTGGCTAGGCGTAGAATCCTTTCGAGAAATACAGCATTTGGAGTGCCATTCCCCCACATCGAGATGAGGTAATCGAAAGTTATCGAGGCGATTAGAGGTGTGTTCGATGAATCGATGAAGTGTCCAGAAGTGCTTGACGATTTGGGACGTCCAGTGTCTTGAATATTGGATACAGTGTACAAATAAATATATACCTTTAAAAATACATTTTTATTTTTAGAGTTACTTGCTCGTGTTCGCCATTCTCCATACGAATTCGTCAGACAAACAATTTTGAGTTCATTATGGATATTTTCACTTTGCATTTAACGCTTCGGCAACCCTTGGGTTTTTTTTTTTTTTGTGAATTCCAGCTGAAGGTAATCCCATTGCCATGCCATTCGGCTTGGTTAAGTTCAGTTCATTTGATCCGACATGATTGCACTCTGGTTTCTTATTTTCTTTATGTTTTTCGCTTGCGAGCAATTTGCGTTGCCAAAAGAAGTAAATGCAATGGAAGTAATGGCTTTGGCAGGGCGGAGGGGCTGTGGATTGTGAATGCGACTGTGGCTGCTGCTCGGTTCTGCCATTTGGTGATGGGGCTTCAAGCCAAGGATATTGGTGGGAAATAAAGAGCCACTAGCTTATCGCAAAAGTGTGCTGCATCCGCTGGAAATTTAAAATGCATTCCCCTGCAGAATAGCGTTGGCGCTTTTGTTAATTCACATATATTTAACAGGCAAGAAGTTTGGGACAAACGGGTTATCTCCAACCAGCCGACAAAGGTACGGACAGAAAGTTTTGTCGATGGGGGGGTCGGATTAGACGCAAATCGAAAGAGGGCTGAATGAACCCATAGAATGCGCTTTGCCACAATGGCCAATCGAACTTTGCTACGGGATGCCTGGCTCGAGCTGATTTTCACGTGCCAGGTTACAAATGATTTCATTCCCTTCTGGATGCCTCCGGTTCCACACAACGGCCGCCTCATAATAATAAATGAGCCAACCGTTTTCACTCCCCTCTTTCTCTCACTCACTCGCTCTCCTGTGTGTCTCTGTCTTTGAGGAAAGCCGGGAAAACTTCAATTTGATTTTATCGCCGGACCATAAAAGCTGGCCACGCCCATTGAGCTCAGCTCGTTTTGTGTTGAATGCAGTTCGGTCCCAGATGGCGATGGGCGCGGCCAGGGACGGACTGCCACGGAACGCACACGCACATGCACGAAAAACATTTACGAACCTTCCATATTCCGTCGTCTGCCGATCTCTGAGACTTTAAGAGCAATACCCCTAAAGAAAATACCACCGGATTGGTGGAATATGACAGCTCGAATGATGAAAATAAAGCGGGGGGCAAAACAGGCAGGCCTCCGTATGCACTTATCACATTAGTCACATACCGCCATATGGCAAATGCCCATCTCTAGTCTGGTAGCAAATGAGACAAATGGCGGACCGGGTAGACCTCAAGATGAAGAAGGAGAAGAAGTATGAAGAGCAAATGGAGTGGTGCATCAGTTTCCATTGTCTCGGCAACGCACCTGCCGCGGAGTGATAAAAACTTGCCATTGTCCGTGAAGGGGAGCATCACTTTGGCAACTGCAGGAGGAGGCACACCAACGAGTCCTGCCATTCACTGCACGTTCCTAATGCGATGAATTGCTTTTTCAATTTTCCAATTTATTTTTCATTTCCAAAACTACTCACAGACCAGACACACCAGGTACACGGGCACGCACCGCGCGGATCGAGCGCGCGTTGGAAGGAGTAGAACTTTATTGATGGCTGTTTTTGTTACTCTTGTCAGCGGACAGTAGTGGCAGACGTGACCACTCACAGATTTCCTTGTACATGCTCGTACATACATACATCCATATGTAGATATGCATGTGAATATGCGGAAAGAGGCGAAGGTGACTTTTTTTTTTCTAGCGAAAACAAAGAAAAAAAATGTTGGACCCGCCATAGCGTTCAGTAGTTACAGTAGTTACTACTAAGCATACAAATGGGAATAGTGAATGAGCTTTTTCACTTTAATAGGCAATATTTATTGTTATATGAAGAGCGACGTATGCGTATGTGCATGCACACATATGTATATATGTATGAATATTGTGTGCGACCGATGAAGAGCAATGTGATCCGATGGCTACGAAGATCAGCTCGGGCGAAGCGCACGAACTAACTAAAGAGAGGGCTAGAGCAAATCGTGGCTGCGGCTGAGCCGAGCACGAGTGATGGAGATAGAGAGCAAAGAACGGCTTAACGAAACGAAGGTGGATAGCGACGCGAAGGAACGGCCGCTGCCGTGCGTAAGCATATGTACATATGTACATATCTATGCCGTAACAATGATTCGTACAGTGGACAGTGCAAATAGCGAGCAATAAAATAGTATGGATTTACTTTAGGCTGCACCACTGGCTATCATTTATGATATTTATGCTGCTTGACCCGACAGTCATACAATACAATAAAAGAACTTGTATGTTCTCTGATCTAACAATTCCATTGGACTACAGCCGCAGGGCGGGCTGTGTCGCTGGGGAGGGGCTGGGGGCTTTCCGTTTTCGTTGGCCTTTTTGCTGGGATTTCCGCGTTCAAACAAGTTGATTTAGCAATGAATGGTCAAAACTGAATGCGAACCTGGGAAAAGGGACAACAAAAGCAGCAGAAGTTATGGGGGAGTGGTAGCCGCCCACAGGCAGGAAAACAAGAGGAGAAAAAAAACAGACATAAGCCCCCTGTGTGGGGAGTGTCGCCCTGCGATGTTTGCTCAGGAGCTGCGACGGGACCTGCGATAGAGCTGACACAACGAGTCTCTAATTACGCGCAAGCAAACAAACAAAATTGCAGGTGTCAAAACAAGGAGCAGGCACGGCACAGGACATTAACAGGAGGAACTGGAGGACTTCCTGAGTCATTTGTGATATCAAAGCCAAGACGAATGGCAGTCCAAATCCTGCTGCTCCTTCTACTTCTACTGCTGCTGCCGCTGCTCTCCGCGGGAAGCGCTTCCATCGGGATGGAGTTGAGCCAATTGGATGATTTAATGGCGGTGCCCACGAGGGACCTGCCTCGGGTGCAGCTGTGGCTGCGTTTGGGTCATCAGCACGGGGATGCCGCCAACGTCTATGTCCAGTGGTTGCTGCATCGCTCCCAGGTGCCCCTAATCGTTCTGGGCTACGAGGCGGATCAGGACCAGTGGCTGGACGATCGCTTTGGTCGGGAGAATCTGGCGCTGGTCATGACTCTGGCGGACCTCATCTCGAATCGGGGTGCAGCCGGCCCCAGCCAGCGGGCCGGGGTCTTTTTCTACGTACTGGCCGATCAGAGTGAGGGACTCACGGTGCGGGAGCAGGGCCAGCTGGAGGAGAGCTGTCGACAGCTGTGGACGCGCCACAAGATCTACAACCGGTACATCCTCTCGCTGGAAGGGATCTGGATATACGATCCCTTCCGGCGCAGTGGACAGGCCTTTGGCCGCCTGGTCCCCTACACGGGCCATGAGCCGCTGTCCAAGTACCTCTTCCACGACATGGGCGGCTATCCGCTACGCGTGCAAATGTTCAAGTCCGTCTACACCCGGCCGGAGCTGGACCCGAATACGGGCTTACTGGTCAGTGTCACAGGCGTCGACTTCTCCGTGGCGCAGATACTGCAGGAGAAACTCAACTTTACCCTGCTGCTGCAGCAGCCAGATAAGAACTACTTTGGGTTGGTCATAAATCTGTGTTGGAATCGAATGTCCCATCGAATGATTCTCTTCTGCAGCGAACGCAGTGCAAATGGCAGCTACAACGGAGCCATCGGTTCGATCATCCAGGATGGCTTGGACATCTGCCTGACGGGATTCTTCGTGAAGGACTACCTGGTGCAGCAGTACATGGACTTCACGGTGGCCGTCTACGACGATGAGCTGTGCATCTACGTGCCCAAGGCGCATCGCATACCCCAGTCCATACTGCCCATCTTTGCGGTCGGCTACGACATCTGGCTGGGCTTCATCCTGTCCGCCTTTGGCTGTGCCTTGATCTGGCTGCTGCTGCGCCTGATCAACCTGCGCCTGGGGATCGTCAAGCTGCGGGATCGGCAGCTGTACAAGCAGGCGCTGGGCATAATGGTGGACACGTGGGTGGTGTGGGTGCGCGTGAATCTGGCGAGGCTGCCCGCGAGCTATGCGGAGCGGATGTTCATTGGATCGCTGTGCCTGGTTAGCGTGATCTTCGGGGCCATATTCGAGTCGAGCCTGGCCACGGTGTACATCCATCCGCTGTACTACAAGGACATCAATACCATGCAGGAGCTGGACGACAGTGGTCTGAAGGTGATCTACAAGTACACCTCCATGGCGGATGATCTTTTCTTCAGCGAGACTTCGCCGCTCTTTGCCAGTCTCAACAAGAAGCTATCCTGGAACCGCGACCTCCATGCGGACGTCATTGACGATGTGGCCCGGAACGGGGGCAAGGCCGGTGTCTCTCGCTATACCTCCCTCATGCTGGAGTCCTCCCTCTTCATGCTGCTGCGCCGTATCTGGGTGGTGCCGGAGTGCCCCAAGTACTACACCATCTCCTATGTGATGCCGCGCGACTCGCCCTGGGAGGACGCCATCAATGCCCTCCTTCTGCGCCTCCTCAACGCCGGCCTCATCGTCAAGTGGATCGCGGACGAGAAGTCCCGCGTCGACATCCAGATGCGCGCCCGCACCCTAGAGGCCAACGCTGAGGCCGACCTCGCACGCGTCCTCACCATCGGTGACCTCCAGTTGGCCTTCTATGTCGTCCTCGGTGGCAACCTGCTTGCCCTTCTCGGCTTCCTGCTGGAGCACCTCTGGCGCAAAGTCTTCCAGGGGGTCGCCT